GGATATAATTTCAAACTATATCCCGTTCGGGATATAAAAAAAATTTTGCTGCAAAAAATGATATCCCAATCGGGATATATATCCCGATTGGGAGTATATCCCGATCGGGATATGTCTCCACACTGTCTGTAGGCATTCCGCATCATGCCTTTAAAACCTTTTTCTTAGATTACTCTTCTCAATTTAGTATCTGTCTTTAGCTGCGTCTTCTTTTCTCAATCAACCAAATTCTTGAATTTGTGTTAGTATTTATAGTTGCTTCTTCTCTTTATGATCATTATTTTCCAGAAAAAAACGGTACAGGATAAAACCTTTTAAGATTCTTGAATTGAGCACCATTTTATGAACGTTTTAAGATTCGAGACTAAAAAGTACTTTTGACTAAAACTTTCTGCGATCCTTTTCTAGCGACTCTTAGCTTTCTTCTATTTTACTCGCTAATTTTAATTTTTTTGAAGGGAAACCCAGAAAAAAGTAAATGAAGATTCTCATTTGACATGAGTAAATTCTCTTTTTTTATTTTATTCGATGTTAATTAATATAAAATTTGTTCCAACACCAAGAGTAATTAACACAGTAACAACAACTGTGAAGTGTGAAAAAGCGGTATATTCAACACAGCATTAAACTAATTAATTAATATCAAATAAAATAAAAGAAGGGAATTTACTCATGTCAAATATGAACTCAACCTATTTATTAAGACAAGAAGATTCTCATCACCACAGAAACTAAACTTTTTCCTTTGCTTTCAAAAAACACTTCTTCCTTTAGAGAGAAATCAGCGATGTTCGCAGACACGAAAACCAACTAAAATCCGTTTTACAGAAATTTTTTATTATGTATGTAAAAATCAGATAAAAAAAGCGTATTTTCATCGTTTCCTGTAGAGAATATGAATACTGCTGTTCGTGAACGATCTGTGAACGGTCGTTCATTAAAATTAAAAGAAAAACTTAATTAGAACCTTAATTAATAATCAGCTCACGAACAAGTTCAATTTTTCATAAACCTTGTATAGTTCTCTTCATGTTACATCAAACGTTTCTTTAAAACAGCCCATCTAGTCAACTGTTTCCCAGTGAATAGTCAGGAGTCGAGATTAGAATTGTGCGCCGCACCGCTGCCGCCGCCGCTGAAGGCGTCAAAATGTTTTGGAACACTTCGCCGCCGCCGATGGATGCATTAGATTTTTGCGCCGCCGCCGAAGGCGCCCAAGTTTTGTGGAGGTCCTCGTTGTAGAAACTTGCTTTAGCCTTCGCCGATAGAAGCTTTTTGTACTCATATTTGGTTGTGATTGGACAGTCCGCTGACGATGGAAATCTTTAAATAATCTATTAGTCGCCGCCGCCGATTGAACCTTTTCTTTTAGCCGCCGCCACCGCGGCTGATCGAAAAACTTCTGTTACATGCCGCCGCCGATTTTCCGACCGGCGCACAGGTCTAGTCGGGATTATATCTCAGTACAGTTGGTAGTGTATAAGTATAGAATTTTTTGTACAGTTAAAAACTCAAACATATTTGTCGACGAGTTTTGAATAGGGCTGTGACAGTTACCATTAGCGTTACAGTAACTGTAACTGCTGAACAGTTGACGTTCTTGGTAACGGTAACGGGTAAGCAGTTACCGTACAAGTAACGATAACGACCAGTTGCAAGTAACGGTAACTCAGCCTCACCCCGGATACCTAGATATTTAGAGATTTGACTCTTGAAAGCTATACTGAACAGTTACCGTTACTTGTACGGTAACTGCTTACCCGTTACCGTTACCAAGAATGTCAACTGTTCAGCAGTTGCGGTTACCGAGTAGCGGTGGTAACAGTAACTGTCACAGCCCTAGTTTTGAATAAACTACCCCATAAACCGATAAATTTTGATTGACTGTCGATAAATCTCGTGTTCAAACATAGTCACTTTGGATGTTTCGATTCCGAGTAAGGCAGCTGATCTTAGGTGGGCTGTTTTAAAAAAACGTTTGATGTAACATGAAGGGAACTATACAAGGTTTATGAAAAATTGAACTTGTTCGTGACCTGATTATTAGTTAAGGTTCTAATTAAGTTTTTCTTTTAATTTTAATGGACACAATTAGACGTTTAGGCTCAATAATTTTATATTCTGATTTGGAATAGGCAAACGTCTATTATTATGCGCATATATCATTCTTTATTATTTATTATTTCATAATTAAAGAGTTTATTTACACATAATAGCTATGGAAAGTCGATAAATGAGCATGAACTAAAAAACTAAAAATATTCGGCTTCATGTTCTAATAAAAAGAGAATCGGGCATATATTATGTTCGATGAACACATAATCCTTCATATGTTTCTTTCTCTATTGTTTAGTCAAAAATTGTTTCTCTCAATTTTTTTGTCTAGTACTCGCATTTACAGACTATATCAATCAATTATCTTTTTTCCTATGTCCATTTCCTGATGATGGTGTGTGAAACGCTTGTTGCTAATTGAAAATCTACTCGTATTAATAAAGAATGATACTTGTGCATAATAATAGACGTTCGCCTATGCCAAATCAGAATATAAAATTATTGAGCCTAAACGTCTAATTGTGTCCGAGCTAAAATATATTTTTCAGAGATGTATCGTTGTAGCGCGTAAACAGAAAATGTTATAACTCTGCTGCAAAAGCGCTGTTGGGAAAAAAGAGAGTTATTACCGTAGTCAGCGCATCACACTCTACGATGTAGAATATATCCGGTTCGGAAACCCGCGTTATACTTGGATACCTTCCCTCGTAAGACATGCAAACCTATAATACAAGTTAATATTCCTACGTTTGCGGCAGCAATTTGCTTTCATGTAAAGGCTTATAACCTTAAGGTTTATAAAGATTTTTTCAGCAGGTCGTTTGCAAAACCTTTCGAGGGTTTATAATTATGTAAAACCTTCGAGAGTTTAGTTAAAAGCGCTAAATGTTTAGGAGAAAACCTTTGGAGATTTTTAAAAAAAATAAAAAACCTTTAGGGTTTTTCTTGACAGATGAAAAATCCTTTGGCACAAAACAGAATTTTTTTTCTGGTAAACCCCTTGTGAAAACAAATTGAGAGTTTAGTAAGCGTACTATAAACCTGACTGATAAGAATAGACAGCAAAACAACTTCTACTATCTTTCAGAAACCGATTTTGATACTAGGCTAAACGGCACAATTGTTCAGAACCATGAGCTCTATCATGTATGTAAAAACCGTATAAAAAAAGCGTATTTTCTTCGAGATATGTGAGTCGCCTTGTAAATTCATACATTTCTGTATTTGTACACTATACAAATACACAAATGTGTTGAGAGAATATAAGAGACGAAGAGCTGAATGAAGAGGAGAAAATGTCTATATGTTAGCGTTTAATACAGATACGCAGGATGACTACAGCTGCAAAATGGTTCAATAGAAAAAATAAAGGTTCAAGCTAGAACCCTTTTTTAAAATGTTCAATTATTTGTATTTGAAATGGTTCTTGACATCGGCTTGAACCTTTGCTGGTTCAGTGCAGACACTATCGAACCTTAAAAGGTTCTGCATCTCTGCTACACCCTTAAAAGACACCTCTTTTCTTTAGAGAGTGGTATTCTCATTTTCTCCATCAGTCTTCTGTTAACCAAAACACAGTATGTCATCCTCCAGCATTATTTCCACTATCAGTATCTACACATTTCGATCATTGCCACCAATATTAATCGTGTTTGGCTTATTTGGGAACTTCTTCAACTTGATCATATTCGCCGTGAAGTCATTCCGAAATTACTCGTCCAGTCGTTATGTATTTGCTTCATCAGTGAGTAATTTTGTTGTGATCGCTACAGGACTACTTCCAGGATCATATTTGGGAAATGGTTTTAATATTAATTGGAGAAACTATTCGAATAGTCATTGTAAAGTGATTTTCTATGTAAGTTATGTTGCAGCGACACTATCGACGACACTATTGCTTATGGCATGTATTGATCGGTATCTGATGTCATCATCAAAAATGAAGTATCGAAATTTGGCTACGGCTAGAACGGCAACACGTTATGTTATTCCAACAGTGATTGCTGTTTGTTGTCTACTCTATATTCATATGCTACTCTTTTATGAAATTCAACTCGGTCAATGTCAGGCGGCTATTGGATGGTACTCGGAATTCTTTTTGTACTGGTATCTTGTGTCTTACACTCTATTACCACCTACTTTGATGACCACATTTGGTCTCCTTACTCTGAATAACGTTAAAAAGGTGCGACAATGTCTTGCAGTAGCACCAAGTCCAAGAATAATTACTGTGCCTACAATCACTATTATTGTGACTTCCACTTCCATTGGCACTACCGGGTGCGCAGTCCAACTACAGCAACGTCGTGAATCAATAATGCTAAAACTCATTCTAATTCAAGTGTTTACGTATGTTCTATTTTCGTTGCCAATTAGTGCCTTTCGTGTCTATCAACTGACTGTCATTGCCAGACCTGCAACTGAAATGGAAACTTTTCTCTTTCACTTATTTGCATGCATACAATATGTCAATTTTACATCCACATTCTATACGAGTGCGCTAACATCGAAAACGATTAGAAAAAAATGGCAGAAGATATTGAACGAATACAAAGAGCGATGCTTAAGACGACTTTTCAACCTCTTCTGATCAGACTACTCAAGCCAAACAGTCCGTTAACGTCGTGCAAACGGTACGTTATCGGTGACCATAAAAACGGTGTAAAAACACGCTGTTTAAGGTCAACGTTAACGTACCGTTTTTACACCGGCTAAACTGGGCTAAAACGAATTAATGAAATAAAAATATGCTTAAAGAATTTCAAGCGCGATGGAAATACTAAACGCGTACTAACGAGACAAATTGTGACGAGTCGAGAAAATCGATAAAAAAAACGTTCGAAAGATGAATATTTTTTTATATACAATTTTCAGATTCTTCATCCAAAGTTATCTATAAATCCAAGCTTTATAGATTTTAGCCTTTGAAAACTTTTGCTCGTTGAGAAAGACATTTTTTTGAAAAAACTGCACTGACTTTTAATCATTTCCTTATCAAAAAGGTTCCCTAGTGAAGCTTTTTTCTCAAGTACATGATATATCATACGAGGAGAAATATATAAAACAATCTGAATACCTCAAGAAAGTTCTGTGCTTCAAGAATCCATGCGCGAAATTTCTACGGAAAAACAGCTAAACATAGCCATTCAACCGATTTTTTTATTCGAAAATTGCTTCAAAGCGTTTTCTCTCCCTAAACCAGCCAGAGCCGTGTTTCTGCACAGGTTTTACCACATTATTGGAACGATAAGAACCGCAGTTTTTACAAGTTTGTTTGAAGAGAGAAACCGTTTCGAACTGCGCTCTAGCGACGGTTTTTTCTCACTCGCATACCTGAAGAAGCTCATGCCTAATTGATTGTTAGGTTTATATAAGACTTTTAGCTCGTTACGCTTGATTCCACCATAATTTACTCGGACTTTTCTTCGAGAACATGGTGAAATCAATGTCTAATATTTTTGTCAATCAGACGATGCTTCTATCACGGCATAATCTCTATCTGAAAAGAAAAAGTCGATATAGGGACAGGGTCAGAAAACGTACATAGCAATTTCGGCCCACTGTTCTTCTACTGTACATAAACACCTGCTAGTCCGTAGTCATAATGTTGAACTATCTGATCGTCTATAAGCTGTGGAGTTTTCTCTCTAGAAACATTTCTTGCTCAGGTACTCAACTAAGTTCCACTTCACTGTGCTTCTCAGTTCTGATTCGATCGTATGATTGAAAATGATACACCTATAATCTATGCCTTTTTTTGATGTGTGACTTGACTTGTGAAAGTCTTTTCAGGCTGAGCGATACTAGTAAGAGTGACTTGACGTGTGACTTGCAAAACCTCTGACTTGCCCAGCTCTATACTGTGACAGATCATATTTTTTTAATTGTCATTCCACGATAGTATGTGTCTTTCCATTTATATTCTTTGTCTTTTAATTTGGGACTATACATTATAACAGTACATAAATTAGTTATAGAATCAATAAGGGAAAATGATTCGTCGTAAAATACTTCTGGTGCGCTCGCTCCAAATGACCAAGCAACCAAACGGCTAAATCTAAGTTGAATATAGTTGCAAAGTTTTGTGTAGCTGTATAAACTTTAATTATATTAATCAATGAACTTTTGCAATAGCACAGTCAAAAAAGTTTATAAAACCTGTTTATACAAATCCGGCTGATCATGCAAATGGTCTGGCAAAAGTGTCACAAGCATTACACAATGCTTTTTCGCACACACGTGCTGAATGGATAAAATCTGGCAAGATGGATAAAAATGGAAACCTTCTTAGAGTAACAGCAACCGAGATATTTGCCGATATTCAGACGACATTGGCCGGTAGTCAGCCTCCACCATCCGTCAACAGTGATGATTCGACAACGACTGGTCAAAATGTGAACATTGATGCATAGATATGATTAGATTAGACGAGAAGGAGGATGAAACATTTTTTTTTATTCACTTTGTTTGTGCTCCAGGTGAACACATATGCCAGGCAAACTTTTTCTGCGAAAAAAATGCGTTAGAGTGCGTTTAAATTTTCATAGAAACTAACGCGTTTAGCAGGATGTTTTTTGTCACATTCCGGACGTCCAAATGCGTTACTGATCACCGCGTTATAATTTAACGTGTCTGAACACCCGAAATGTGACCAAAAGCAACCTGTTAAACGCGTTAGTTTCCAATGCGTTTAAATGCGTTACGCATTTAAATGTAACGTTAGTTTAAAACAAAACAAACCTGAACTCTCCAGCTTGAAGTATATTAAAAAATCTTGGGAAGTACTTCAGGATCGTTTTTGGACCTTGATCTCTGGAAAACTCCTAAACGGTAAGACTTGGTGAAAAAAAAGCTTTTTATTTCTCGTAACTCATTAAGTCGAACATTTATGGAAAGTTTCGTCAAGATCGGATCCTAAGAAAAAGATTATTTCCGGCTCTTGGAAAATCCTTTTGAACCGGGGCTCATTGAAGCCACTGCGAATTTTTGTTTTCATTTATTCTGTTGGTGCAACGAGAAACACCCATCTAATCAACAGAATATCTTGGACAACACAATAGTTCGGCCTGTTACGTCGTATTTTGCTGCTCGTCTTGAAGCCCTTCACAACAATGGGGCACGACACTTTAATATTTCGTACAAGAAAAAACAACTTATAAAGTGTTTGAATGACATCAAGTGCGAACTTCTTGTTAAAAAAGCCTTTAGCTTGTGTGGAAAATCTTGATAGCCGTATCTGCTTCGTTAGTAAGTTAAGCAAAACGACACTACGTAAGTGCATTACCTCTGCGATATAAAGATCCACGTTGTAGCGACTGTATATACGATAACAAAAATGCTGAAAAAAATCCGTTTATTCTTGACAGCTCGTCGTGGCCAACAGCAAAAATATATAAACTATTTCTAACTGTTTATTACACTTCTGTAAGAATCTATAGATAATCCAAAGACGAAAATAAAGTAGAATAATACGAACCTTGTGGAGACAAACTGTAAACAAACTGGTTAAATGAGTTTGAACTAAGAACATGGCATGGGCAAGCACTAAGAAATCCAAAAGTTAAACGAATTAATAATTTAGATAACTTTAAGAAAAATAAAGTTTGTTGAGAAAAATGCACATTGCGAAGAATGAACTCGAAAAAGAAACGAATAAAACATATTTTCCGATCGGTAAACTAGTCGAAACAAGTAAATAACCGATCAGTTACAAATAGACCATAATCGCTATAAATGAGTTGGTTGGAGTCTACTTTCAACAGAAATAAGTCTCCGTTGCTCAATACGCTTTCGATGTTTTTCTATATAATCGAAGAGATTACCTTTTCTCAGCTGCCAAAAAATATGTAAAGCATCTATGTGAAATGACCTATACTCCAATTCATACATGTTTATATAACATGCTGAGCGTGCTGGGTCTTGTGTAGTTTGTTGTATTCTCGAACAGAACACACTACTACGCATAGCTATTTATAAAATAAGTTGAGCTAGCATATTTGCAGTACTACTAGTTAGTACTTTGATGACCGTTTTCAGGGAATTTTAGTGAGAGCTAGACTTCAACGTGTGATCTATGTAGGCTGGATAACAAGATGCCAAAGACAGCTCGTTTAGTTGGTTGAATAGCGAGGAGTTGGTGAATAGCGAGTAAACGTTTCTGTTGCACAAGACTTTTATTAAAATTCTTGTGCTTATAGTTCACAGTTAAACTGTGAACTATAAGTTTTTATTTGTATACTATTGTGGAGATCCAATCGTTTAGCCTCTTATTCACTACCAAGGCGTCTGCTATAAATACCATTTCCCTGTCCGTTATTTGGTTACAATTAAGATAAAGCGTTTCTAATGTTTGATTGACTTTCAACATTTCGCATATTTCTCGACAACCTTCATCACCGATTTTGTTCTCGCTCAAGCCAATAATCTTCAACGTTTTATTTATTCTAAGGCCATCAGATATAAACTTTACACCATCATCTCCTAAAGAATTATTCCAGAGCCATAGTTGCTCTAATGCTGAATTAATTTTCAATGCTTCTCCCAAATATTTTGCTCCAACCTCCGTTATTTGGTTTTTACATAAATACAGGTCACGCCAATTAAAATTTAGTTTCAATTCTTGGACGATAATTTCCACATCTTCATCGGTTAATTGTTCATAACTCAAATACATGGTCCTGTCTCTTTCATGTTTTCTAACTTCTTCTTCTAGTTTCTTATTGTAGTATCCCCTCGATTTAATCGTCTCATTTATGAACACCGAAATGTTAATGGGAGGTATATTCTGACCTTCAGCTGGTATTGAACGAATAATTTCATTCAACGACTCTATTAGTTCTTCCTCCTCTGTAGAAGCTGAAATGATGGTGAACGGTGGTTTTAAGAGAGGGAAACGTGGATCCTTCGCGAAGGTGAATGATGTGAGTAGCATTACCGATATCCAGTTTATCAACCACCACAAACTGAGTTGAGGGCAGCAAAAGAATTTCATTCTCATTTGGAAAATACGATTCTTGACGGATAAGTTTTCCGTTTTTGCATTCAATATTAAACAGCGTTCGTAAACCGCTTTAACCGAGAAACTGGTCTGACTCCAAAACGTCCACTGAATCTGTGCACGAACCAAAGACTCACCACGTTACAGTCTTGCCCTTTTCATATTGTCCGCTCAAACCCATCTTCACTCCTCCGTGAACCAGGGCTTTAACAGACAGTCGTTTCCACACAGCAGTCAAAAACAACTTCAGATAAGCAAAGAAAGGTTTCAGCTGCTGTCGATTTTCGCCTCGTAATGCCGAGTTAAGAACATTATAAACGCATTACGAGTAGGGTTCCCATTCCCTTGTGTATAGCTAAATGGCACCTGATCATCCTCGTTGAGACCGTATTTCGCCTCCTGGTTGTTTTGTTTGGCGACATAGACTCTCTGCTGAATATTTAGAATAACGTGTTCGACGAACTCGGCCGCCATTTCAAGAGACATCAATGGAAGCTCTTCATAACCCTCGACGGGCAACAACATTTACGTGAATAATACAGGTAAACGTCGTGAGAGGCTTTTAAATGTATCAGCAAACAGCTATAAGATGATTCATACATTGACAACTATCAGTTTCATTAATCTGTTTAGAAAGGTCTTTTAAAGTTGTCTGAACCTCTTATTTTGCTTGATAATGAACACACTATAGTGTTCGAAAGCTCCGAAATAAATAGTGTCAAGCAATAAAGTGTCTAGATTGGCTCACATACTGACTTTGACAGACTTTTAGAAGCTCAATGATGTCTACGTAAGTCCAATAAAACTATAAAAGTCCAAAGTCCGCTATTCCCCCTTTGCATTTTTTGCTGAAGTCAACGATGGCACATCGTCGTTAATGACGTCAGACAATGTGACATCGCGGAAAAATCATGTATGATGACGTCATGTGGTGGTAGTGGTGAAAGGTTGTGGACAAAAGAAGAAATGACTTGAAAATATCTAGACAGTCGCTCATAAGCATGCAACGGTTATTTTATCAGGGCTCTTGAGGCAGTAGTTTTTAATGCCGAGTTAACAACATTATAAATGCATTGTGAGTAGGGCTCCCATTCTATTGTGTATAGCTGAATGGCAGCTGATTCATCCTCGCTGAGACCGTCTTTCGCCTCCTGGTTGTTTTGTTTGGCGACATAGACTTTCTGCTGAATATTTAGAATAACGTATTCGACGAACTCGGCCGCCATTTCAAGAGACATCAATGGAAGCTCTTCATAACCCTCGACGGGCAACAACATTTTACGTGGCTCATTTTGAAGATCAAAATATCTCAAATTGCGCTTTGTCTTGTCAATATCATCTTCAGACACATATTTCGACGCCATTCAAAATTTGTTTTTTTCCAGTGATGACGATAAAGAACATGCTTCCGACTTCATAAATATATCGAAAAGTAATTGTGCACGGAAAGAAGAAAAAGAACGGGAAAAAAGAATTGCATCAGATCCCGTAAACTTCGAATTATTTACTCATTAGCGTTTATTTATCATATTAGCCATTTATTTACTCTGCATAAGGGCAGACCGCTTCTAAAGCCAATGATGCTGGTCATCTCCGATGGCTACATAGTAGGGCGATCGAGCCGTACTTAGCCGACTACTACTCATTCGTCACATAATTAGCATGGACGACTGAGCGTAGCTATGTTCCATCTACTTTCTAAGCTACTAAAAGTCACTAGATGCCAATCCTATGGCTTCCAAGGAAATCCAATATCACATATAAACCGTTGAAAATCAAGTTGCTAGACGTTTTCGTCCTCATGACAGTGGGAAAATGTACCATTATATGAGTTAGATTACATTCTTCTGTTTCATCTTTTTTGGATTTTTCTTTTTTCTTTTGGAAGATATATATGTGCTTTGTTTTGATACAGTTAGAACTAATAAAAATGAAAGAAAGAAACGATAATAAAGTTGTAAGTATTCCATGACCATGGCAGCTACAAACACACACGAAGAATTCATGAAGGAACGAAATAAAGTACCGTTAAATTAGGAATAAATTTACAACAGCCCGAACAATACAGAAAAACAGATATTACGAACCATTTTTAGAATGACGATAAACGCCATAATTGCCGGTGATGATCACTGAATATTGACCATTGTTGATATTCCCAGGTCTAGTATCGAAAAGATCTCTTTTTATATGTACAATACATAATATGGACGAACAATTTTTGATTATTGATCAAAAACGACTATAACTGCCCAACACTAGCTATAGTCGGCTGGGAATATCAACAATGGTTAGTATTCAGCGATCATCACCGGCAATTATGGCGTTTATCGTCATTCTAAAAATGGTTCGTATTATCTGTTTTTCTGTATTGTTCGGGCTGTTGTAAATTTATTCATAATACGCACCATACTCGACTGGAAACCGCAACATCACAGATAACCGCAAGTTTTTTTCCGTCGGTGTTATTTTGGTCTAAAACTAAGTAGGCACATACAATGATCTCGTAAAAACTATAAGAAAAAAAAACTATAAAGAAAAGGTAAGTTGGGATAGATTGCAATTGCACTCTGCATTTTTTGCGAAGTGAACAGAGTCGTGTATCATTGTACCTACTTTCTACGTGGCAGTGCTCCCGAGATCGCCTTGTATAACTTCGTACATATTTCACAAAAAAATAACTGAAGAGAAAGAAAAAAGGAAAATCCCTACATGTTATTGTTAGGAACTGAATACGTTCACTCTCTGAGTTAAAGGTCATTCTGTTTTACCCGTTTCATCATGTATTTCGTTTATCTCTTTTCGTTCTCTTTTTTTGTCTCTCATCAGACATATAATCTCGTTCTGTTTTTGCGATATCATATCACAGGATACCAGTGGTAGTTATCTATTTCGTCAGACCAATGATCTTGTACGCTCTTTTAGATACTATTTCATCATTCATATGAATTCAATCTCTTTTTATTACGTCATAGGTTTCCAGATGACTGTGAATGTTTGATTTTTTGCTATAAATAGCGATGTATTTAGTAGGTTCGATAGTTTTTGTTGGATACAAATAAAGTTTTATTTGCTCTATCAACATAGACTTTTCATTCGATGATAAGGGTTTTCATCTGGTGACAGCGTCTGACATAACAGTAATGCCTGTCGGCATAATCAAGTCCCAAAGGTGAAATTTCTCCCATTGCACCCTGTCTTGCGTTTGTAAAAATTATTTCTTGGATTTTGAATGGGCTTTTTCTACATCTTGCGTCTAACAAATACTGCGTACTCTCCAAAAAGAAGGTTTATTACGAAACTTAAAAGGGTATAGAGAAGTGCAATCATTTCTAAACCATTTTAGATTTCGTAGAAGACAATGTGCAGTACGAAACCGTTTTAAGTGCATTGAAACGATTGATCATTTGTATTTGCTTATTTCGTTATGTTTTTTCCTCATGTTTTTCGAAAAATCAAAAATTACAGAAGTTTCAGGTATTTTTTTTTGGGCTCAGTTTTCGCCGCCCTATACAATGAAAACACGCTTAAGTTGCTGAGATGGTCCACTTGCTCAGAAAAAAAACTGCTAGAATTTATGTACTTAAACGGTTTCCTACTGCACCATGTCTTCTACGAAACCTAAAAGGGTTTAGAAATGCTTGCACTTCTCTATACCCTTTTAAGTTTCGTAATAAACCTTTCGTTTTAGAGAGTAGGCTACGCCTGTATGGCGTTTATTACTATTTTTCAGAAGTTTGATTTCAGATATTTTGGCGTGTATAAACTTACACTCTTATAAAAAACCGTGTTGCATTATAGTAGTTTTACAAAATGAGTACTAAGCATTGTCCATCGCCGGGTCGTGTAAAATGTAGTGCATGTCAGACAAATGCAATAGGCCGTTGTGATGGATGTGGACGACGTTTTAATCTAATGTGTTTTCAACAACATGATTGTACCGCTGCACGTACGCCTTACCGTACAACAGCTCGTTTAAAACCTGAATGTCAATTTTGTTCAATGATAGTACCCATAAAGAATGTTAAAAGTTAAGCAGGGTGTGGAGGGATCAAAAACTGGACCAAATCGAATGGTTGGCAAGCAGGTATAAAGGTGTTTTTCTTTTCAAAACTTAGATGTCCTTTATAAATTCTCGCTAACGACGCGGCCGGTACATGTGGTTGGTGTCATGAACAAGTTTGTTACAGATGTTTTGAAGCATCACATAAATATCGAACAAATGTGCGATCAGAAAATACGTCATCAACATGTACAGTTTCATAAGAAAGTTTGTCTTCTGTATCTGCTCTAATTTTGTAAGCAGTGAAAATTATTCTTTAAAATAAATATTTTTTGCAACGAAATCACCCTCTGATACAACTAAGTTGGCACAAGGCACCTTAAAAAGGCTTGACACGTCGTAGGGCATTAGATATACGACCCTATTCTAGGCCGTGACATTTGACACTTTCCCGTAAAAATTACATTGAAAGTAATAAGATTTCCGAATTGCATGTGAGAAAAAATAAAAGCTACTGTCAATGGCTACAAATTCGTATTCTTTGGAGGAAACAAATCCTTTTTATATAGATCATGTACAATAAACAAAAAAATAATAAAAAAGAAGTTAACGAGATCGGAATGTCGAGTTAGCTAGATCCATTGGGTTTTTCGAGATCATTGTAAACGAAAATGTACCATTATATGAGTTAGATTATTCTCTTCTGTTTCATCTCTTTTGGATTTTTCTTTTTTCTTTTGGAAGATATATCTGTGCTTTGTTTTGATACAGTTAGAACTAATAAAAATGAAAGAAAGAAACGATAATAAAGTTGTAAGTATTCCATGACCATGGCAGCTAC